GATTTAATAACAAACTACTGAGATACAGAATTATCCATTTCCATTGTAGAAATTAATCTGGGAAAAACAGAAGATCCCTATGCACAAAATGATCATGAGGATGCATCTTAAAATTAAACACAAAATGGACCCCAAGAAACAGTCTAGAAATTATAATTAATGATACGCTGCCTTTAGAGTTTGTTCTAATGAGTCTGAGCTAATAGATTAAAGAGAAGCTGCCAGGCTCATTTGATTGTAAAGTAAATAGCTACACAGGTAGAATTAAGAATGCATATTCAGTTAGTAACTTTGTAATTTATTTAAACAGAAGTTTCTTTACTCAGAAGTTTTATGCACATTAGAATATTTAGTCAAATTATGGCTAATTAAGTATAACTTCACACCTGAAAAGATGTTCCCCCATGCTGTTATATATGACTTCATCGTTAGGATATAATTCCAGAGCATGTTCATAGCAATCAAATAAATCTTGAATTCGTGCAAGAGAATCCAGCTCTTCTGCCCATTTAAAAAGGGTAAATTGAAATGTTTCCTAAAAAAACAAAAAAAAATTGTTTATCAATTTAGAGCTCTATTATGCAATATATCCAGGATAGGGGAAAATAAGCAGAAAATTTCTCACCTTAACATCATTTTTAAATTCAGGAGCTATGTTTAATACCAGGAGATAGTGAGCATATGCAGTTCCAAAGTCCTGATTCTCCAGGCAATGTTGAGCACTTTGCAAGGATCTGGAAACTAATTCACGACGGCCAGTTTCTTGACTAACTTTGTGTCTATGCTGAGATTTGCTTTTACCGTTAGGCATTTTTAATTAAAGCAACTCCACTTTAAAGATAAAAGATAAAATTAACATTTATTCTATGATTATGACCAAATTCTATTGTTTTATTACCATTTTAAAAAAATCAAAGTTACTTTTGTCCCCATTGCAATTATTGATAAAAAAGGAGCCATAGGCTAATTTGTACTATTTTGAACAGTATTGTCATTCTGTTCCTAACAAGAGGAATGGAGTCAATATATAGCATAATTCCTGCTTTTGTAAATGCAAGAATGCACTCTATAAGTCAAACTTTATATCAAAATGAAAAGCTGTATTTTTTGTCTAGATCAGTGGTTCCCAACCTTTTTTTTTGCCCTGAACCCCTAAAGAAATTTCACTTGAACCTCGCACCCCCTGGAATAAAATTTCACTCGAACCTCGCACCCCCTGGAATAAAAATGCCAACATATAGCCAATATCCTATTATTTACCTGGACTTTTCTCGCACCCCCTGGAATATTGTCTCGCACCCCCAGGGGGTGCGAGCACCCCAGATTGGGAACCCCTGGTCTAGAAAGTGATTGTCTTTAGAACATCATTTATGTAAGAAAGATACACATGATCTTATTTAGTGTGGCTAGCAGTACTGAATGAAAATAATCCAACAACTGATTTGTAGTTCAGATAGTCCTAATTTTATGACGGCAACATTGCTAAGATTGCTAAGCTGTTGCTAAGTGATGAACTCATAGTGCAATGTCACATGACAGCATCATTTTGTGATGACAATCACGGTTACCACTATAATCCCAAGATGCATAGGCTTTTAAGCGGGAAACAGGTCCAGGTAAGGACTGTGGGAGACAGCAGAGGGAGGGCCTTGGAAGACCTCTGCAGGCTGTGTGTGAGTGGAAAGAAGTTAGAAGCAAGGTGCTGTGCCATGTGAGTGAAGAGTAGTCTGAGTTTGGCACTGCCTCCCCGCTGGGGGGGGGGGGGGGTGTCACTTTCCATTTGCTCACTTGGTTTGACTTTACTTATGTAAAGCCAGGGTAGAATGTTGCAAATAGCAATGATTACCAAGTGCTTGAATCATGTCACAGTGGCCATGGGGTAACAGCCAGAACTTTGAGGACCAGTTATAAGTATCACTCATTTAGGCTATGGCAACTATAAATGGTTGCTGAATGAATGTTTATAAGTAAAGATTACCCGTAAGGAAATTTACATGTAGCTAGAATTTTAATTTGAATTTAATATAGTATTCAATATACTTTCATTGTGAGCTTTTATATCAAATCTAATCAATCTTTATTCCGTCAGCAAATAAAGCACAAGAGTCACAATTAAGATAAAAAGAAAAAGATAAATATCTAAAAAATGTTAACAGTTAATACTTTGGGGTACATTGCAGATTATAAAACAGTACTTGACTATGGTCAGGGAAATAATATCTGATTGATCCAGAAATAACATATTGAGATCAAAGAAATCTGAATGACCAGGATATTTAGTAGGGAATAGAAATAATTCGGAATGAGCACTTGCAGAGAAAGGGCAATACAAAATAACATACTCCATCAATTCAGTTATTCCTCCACCACATGGACAGTCTCTGATCGAAGGGGATTTTTTTCTTTGTATCTTCCTTCAGTAACAGCTGTTGGGAGGGCCCTGAATCTGGCTAAGAATAACTTGAGATATCTAGCTGGTTGGAGAAGATATGCAGACTATCTCAGGAAGATGTTTGTAGATATTGCTGGAAAATCTGCTTCCATCTTTAAATCAATGGTCCAGCTTTTCTACTTAAAATGTTAAGCAAATTACTCCTTCTCTACTATTATTAGCTGCATCAAATTACCTTCCCATCATGTTGACAAAATATGTTAAAAGAACAGATTAGAAATCATTAAAATCTGTTCAAGGAATTTCAGGAATCTCTGAAAAATACTCAAGCCTGGCCAAAGAAATTAAGTGATTAGACTGCGTGATCAGGGTAAACCAAGCTACATACACAGTACATAAATATGTTCAACTGAAAAAAGTGACTTATGACTATTTTTAGCACTTATGATTGTTGTAGCATCTCTGCGGTCATGTGATCAAAATTCAGACACTTGGCAACTTACTCATATTTATGATTTTTGCAGTATTTTGGGATTATGTGATCACCTTTCCGACTTCTGACAAGCAAAGTCAATGGGGAAGCCAGATTCACTTAACAACCATGCTACTATCTTAACTGCAGTGATTCACTTAACAATAGAGGCAAGAAAACTCCTAGCAAAACTCACTTAACAGACTTAGACTTCGAATAACTTTATTGTCACTCTAAATGTACATTAATCGGCAAATATTAAAATGAAGTTTTGTTGCATACAGCTCTCAAAGGGTCACCACCTCCAATATATGTTTCACTTAACATAAATTTTGGGCTCAACTGTGGTCATAAGTCAAGGACTATCTGTACTAAAGATAAACTGAAACATGGCTTTTAAGACATACTTCTGAAGGACCCAAGTAGATCCACAAGAAGAGACAACTAATTGTACTTTTCCCACCAGCAACCAATCTGCCCTTACTAGATAAATAATAAGATAAATAAGCAAGACATGTTTCATAGGTATTAACTATTAGATGGACTAACATAAAAGTGGTCCCAAACTTTCTGAGGTTTAAAGCTTTAAAAGTTAACATCAACATCTTCAAGTTCAATTACGTTGGAATACATAAACCCATACAAAAAAAGCTCTTTCGGGGTCCTACATTGTTTTTTAAAAGTGAAAAGGGATCCTGCGAGAAAAAGGGTTGCCATGTATCGAATCCCTCGTAGGGAAGGCAGAATATAAACCTCACCAATAACAGTGCAATAACATGTAAAGTTTGCGTTTGTGAGGTTAACGAGACCTTTGCGCCTGTCATTTTCAATTTCCCTCGTAAAAACATGCCACGCAGTAATTCCAGATTCATTGGGTGAATCTATCAATTTATTAATGTTTATTCAGAAATGCTAGTCTTGGGTGAAGGCCCTCGCCGCCCCATGCAAAAACAAAGGACACGGAACCTTACTTAACCTTTTAAACTGTTGACAGTTCAAGGCGAAGAGGAAGAGGACCAAGATCTCCGCCTTCTCGTTTACAAAACCAAAACCAAAAACCAAACAAACGCCGCGTGGAAGACGCTCTCTCGCGTTATGCCTACACGCGTTTATGGCAGCCAGAGTAACGTTTCCGAATCACCCAGGCACGCTAGAGCTTCCTCGGACAACAGAAGCAGGTTCTGGGAAGAGAAGCAGCCCAGGGAAGAGAAGGAATCAGGGCGCAACCACCGGACTTTCACACGCACGTCTTCCGCTCCACCTCGATCTCTTGCCCCTCCGCGCCGAACGTTGAGGAAAGCGGAGCTCACGGAGCCCGACCGCTTTGAACAAGGAGCCGGCCGAGGCCTCTCTGAGGCAGGGAAAAGGGCGGCGCCATATGCTGCGTGGCCTCGCGGCGCCTCTCGTCACCGCCGCCGTGCTTAGTAAAATAATGTCGAGGTCTTAGTGCCTTTCTCTCACACGGCGCGGCTCTACGTGCGTCGTTCCGTAGTTGTATTTAGGTACTCATTTGAGGTTTATTTCTCGGTAGATTCGCACACATACGCGAATCAGCCCTGAATGCAAGAGACTTACTCCCGAGTTTCAGGGTGCCTTCCAGGATGAATTAAAATTGCGGGGCTGCCGCCGGTTGCAAGAACTTGCTTGAAAGAGCAAGATTCGGAAAATTGATTTTATTCAGTGTAACTGAGGGGGCGGGGTGGTAAAGTGAAGTTTTAAATTCATTTATTCAGAAATCACCCTAATTTAATGGGTAAGAGACCAACGGCCGCTGCTTTATGGTTTCGGCTGCATAATAAAACGGAACGACGTTTGTGTGAATGGCCGGCGGGAACGTCGCCGTTTTGTTCCCAGCGGCTTGTTCTAATGTGAACCGTCCCACTTGGGAGAACCGCGGGGCTCCAAAGCAGCGGCTGAAGCTGACGTCCTTGTTCCAAGGCCCCAAGGGAGACTCCTCCGTCACCCTGAGGAGCGTGAGAGCGGCAGGACCCGGACGGCTGAAGGGAGGAGCCGAGCGAGAAAAGCTCGGCGTCGGATTGGAAAAACTTGGAAAAACCGGAGGCGGGAAGGCCGGGAGTGGAGACTCAGCCTGGGAAGGAGGCGGGACGAGGGAGGGAATGCAGTTGCGGGCCAGTCTTAGTCCCCTCTTCCAGCCAGTCCGCGGGGAGAGGCTCGTCCGGGGAGCTTCTTCAAAGCAACCCACTTTCTGCCTCGACTTCCAGCGGAGGACCCGAGGCAGTCCAAGGGTGCGTGGAGCTGGTGGCGGATTTCCCAATGACCAACGCCTTTCCCCGCCAGTCTCCTTCCAGTGGCTTTGCTCGTCGGCGGCGCCCAAGCCCTCCGGTTGTCCCGCATTTCTTTTAGAGGGGCTGGGATAGTCCTCGGCGGCTGTCGTCTTTGCCCGGGTGAGGCGCTGTAGGGACCGGTTCTGGTCTGGAGGAGAGAAGGCGGGCGTGCTCCTCCTCGCAGCCTCTCGGAGAAGGATTACATAGGCTGAAGTATTTTGGTCTAGCCCTGCCGCCGCCTCAGCAGCCATGGGACTGCAGCCTTTGGAGTTCAGCGATTGCTACCTGGACAGCCCTTGGTTCCGGGAAAGAATACGAGCTCACGAAGCGGAGCTGGAGAAAACCAACAAATTCATCAAAGAGCTGCTCAAGGATGGCAAGACGCTGATCGCCGCCACCAAGAGTGAGTCGAAAAGTTGGGAGAGGCGGGGATCCAAAAGTATGTGCGGGGAGGGAGGGAGGGGGGTGGGTGGAAGGCTGGTTTTGGCACTAAGAGGCGCAAAGCAAATAGTGGAGTTTGCGACCAGATTCCCTGGCGCACGTGTCCCGGTAATCTTTTCTTGCCCCTACAAGGTCTGGGGGCTCCGAAAGCGCGATTAGCTGTTTGGATTATTTCTCCGACTCCTCCTCTTGCCTGGGCCAAAACAGCAGATGGGAGCGCAGTTTGAGAAGAGTGTTGGGTTTCTTGAATTGGATGATCGAAGCTCAGAGCAGAGAGCAAAGGACGGTAGTAAAAATTGCGAAGCCAAGGGTCGTGTAAGGGAAAAGGAGGGCTCCCCAAATTCACGAGCACTCGGCGCTTTTACGCTAATGACCGAACCGGTCGGCTTTCTTTGATACAGCAATCAATGCATACCCAAATTCATACGGATAGTATATAACATGGGAAATATTAACTTAAGAAAGAGCTGTAGCTTTCCGACTAATATGTTTGCATAATTTGTCCATGGACTATGTATTATGCTGTTATGCTACTACTCCTTTCTGAAGTATTCATTGAAATCGGTCGCGAAGCCGCGCAGCCTCTGAATAGGGGAACACTGTCAGGGATCCCACAAACTTGTTATTTTGGCTTATCAATTTACCTTGAAACTCCTGAAGCACTTCAAATTATATTTCGAAGCCTTCCATTTTTTAAAAAATACAATATTCATTATTGAATACGATTTTATTGTATACAATAAGAATTCCCACAGCTGCCTTTCCTGATTGTCTATTATAGGCCCTTGGTGCTGTAATCAGAGTTTACTAGATTTATATTTATGCACAATATGATTTTATAGCTAGATTTATTCTTCAATATTTGTATTGTGAAATCATTGTGCCTTCTATTACTTGATTTAAATATTTTCGGAATACACATCACTTCTTATTTCAGTTTGCATTCATTGTAACAACACAGATATGTTTAACTTAGGTCTGAAACCAGGAAACCAAATATTGTGAGGAAATGCAACAGATATAAAATAAATATATTCACTTTTGTTTAAAGTAATCCTATATGTACATCTGTATCTTGTGTATATGCATATTTGCTTCATGTAATTTAAATGGATGTGTAAATGTTCTATGTGTTTGGTGTTTATATGATGTTTGGGATGAGATTAATCTTTATGCAGCAGGTTAGATTTATCTTTCAAAATAATTACTACATAAGCTGATGAAAACTATATAATTTTGACTTTTTTTTATTAAACACTCACTGCTTTTTTCTTCCTTGTCTTGTGTTCTATAGAAACATGGGTGTTTTCCTTAAACCTAGAACTTTGATTTCTGTCAGGGTGTGCTGTGATATTGAAGATTAGCTCATATTTGATTGAGTTAATGATTTCCTGATTACAGCATTATATCAGTTCAACAGTATGGACCAGATAATCGTAAATGGGAAAGTGTATTTGTTGTAATTGTACAACAAATTGTAAACTCTCCTTAGAATTCTCTCCTCTCCTCTTACAACACAGTTCTGAGTTATACAATAAATAGTTTTGCCCTGAACAGCTGTGATGAGTTGCGGGTCCCAGTACCAGGATGAATCAGCTGACGACCTGCACCCAGACAGACTGTCTGGGTGGGCTCCTCTTGATGGCAAAGATGACAGACACAAAGGTTTCTTTTGGTGAGAGGAAAAGAGCCCAGAGCAAACTTTGCCCCTCTCTTTTATTGTGCAGCAAGCAGGGGGGTGGGTTTAGGTTACATGAGGTTAGACAGGAACAGGAAACACTGCCATATATGGTTAATCCTTATGCTATAGCTGACTCAGGATTTTGTACAGGAACAGGAAACATTGCCATATATGGTTAATCCTAAGTGACTCAGGTTTTACACGTAGCTGTTCCTATAGTGTCACCCTATATATGTATTGCATGTGTATTGGGTTGTCTGTGTACGTGACTTCCTACTGATGTGTCATATCGCAACACAGCTGCATGATTGCAATTGGGTTGTTCTTGCACTAGGTTAACATCCCGGATATTGTGCTGAAGTAATTAAACGTTAAGCCTTTTAGTCCTCTGCAAGCAATTACACCCATCATTTTTGTTGTTGCATGAATTTGTAAGTTTGAGGAAGAGCCCTAAATCAATAACAAAACAAATTGGAGTGGAATAGAAAATATAGCTCCACTAAAACATTGCTTGCTGGATATTCAAATGTACTATAACAGAACTTCGGTATGAAAAATAGTTTTTGATGCTTATTTTGATTGTTTTTCAGTAATGAAGGAGTAGGGTGATAAGTTATATGTATTTTTATATTAGTGTTTGTTGATATTGGTAAAAGATTTTTTTCCCTTTCCCTTCTGTTCTTATTTACCCTTTGGTTCTCAGTTCCAAGTATTATACCTTCTGGTATTTTTCAGGAGTGTTCTTAATCGAATCTTTCATAATATTATGCAAGTACTTTATATAATATAAGTATATAAGTACCGGTACTCAATATAATTGCTATAGAACAAATACATGAAAAATAATATTTCCAAAACTAGGATAATATATGTTTATTCTTTTTTGTAAATTCCTTCTGGGACATGGAAAAACATTTGACAAATATTTAATGTAGCAAATGTAATATTAATTGTGTCCTGTTGCTCTGTTCATTAAAAAAAAATCTAAATAACACTTTTATATCCATAATGTTTAGGGTCCTGTAACTTCTTTTTGTAATAGTTTTTATCAAGAATTCTAATGATAGTAGTAAAAGAAAATACAAACTAAACTCAGAAAAAGAAAGAATGTGCAAAGAAAGAAAAAATAAAATGAGAAAAGAAAATTGAAAGTCTAACTTCTTCATCAGAACAAGTACAGGCAGAATAATAATTTTTCATCCATGTGATAACATTTACAAGAAATATTGCTTCTTCCCATAATGCATCCCTTATCCAAATTCAAATCCATAGATGCAAAAAGTCCCAGGTATACAAATATGTCTTATTTTAATATTGATCAAACAAACAAATATTCTTTCCTTTTCTTCCAATCTTAATCTTTAATTTATTCAAATATTGTCATAGAATTTGATCTTTCTTCGGTTTTTCTTTTTCCATCTCAAAGGTTTCTTCAAGACTTTAACTTTTTTGTAAATTAAGTAAGAAATCATCTAGATCATTCTCTTAACTTGTTAATTTGTATTTCCACTGTAGTCAGTTTTCTAATCCATATTTTAATGTATTTCTTCAATTTCCTTATGTTCTCTTTTTTCTGCATCAGGAAAACATTTCACTTCTTTATTCTGAAACAGTTTTTTCCTAAAAAATTATTGCACCTCTTTTTTCCAAGATCTTTTACCCTGTGTGTCTCTCTTACTTCTGCCATATTTTCTTTAACATTTTTTTGGGAAATAGTCTATCGGTAGACGCATATATCATTGCTGACATTGTAACTGCTGTTTTCTGACTCCATTCTTCAAAGATCTCCTTGAGTATTTCAAATATCACAGCATTTCCTATCAGTTTACAAAAACACAAGACAGGCTTTTCATCCAACCCTTTCCCCCACTTTTTCATCCTGGAATCTTTCATTCCAGTTTCTGAAATCAAAGTCATGAATTTTGGTTAGGGTAGGCAAAACAAATTAGTTCCCACTGTTTCTATGGTGTGTGTTTATTTAATTGTTTTCAATTTTTTATAGCAAGTTCTGATAATTTAAATTTGTCTAGTATTTTAATTCATTTATAACTTTCTTAATTCCTTAGGTTTTTGACATTCATTTCCAATTCTTTACATTCTTAAGCATTAATTTATCTTTTATTGAAGAGTAAAGGAAAATTTTCAGGTAATTTTTCAAACTTGTCATTTTGAAATTCTCTCTGATCCTTAAAATAGATTCCAAAATGGTTTGAAAGTGAGGTTAGTGAATCCAGTATCTGTTAAAAGACTCTGCCACAGTTGAAAGCATGTTGGCTTCCCTTTGTCTCCTAGCACTCAAAACTTGGGGGAAACAGCTATCCTGCTATCTGTGCATGAGAAGCAGCTGTCCAGAGCACAAGTAAGTGGTCTGTTCTCTCCTTATCAAGAGAGGTTCTGTGGGACCAATGTACTTGTCGGTCCTTTAGTCTTGGCAGAGATGTTGTGTCTGCTGATTAGGATATGGCTTGGCGCTCTATTCTTCCCTTGGAAATCTATAGTTTTGTAACATCTTAATTTCACTCATAGTCAAAGATCTGTGTTTATCTGCAACCATTTTCCCATTGCAAAGGGAAAATGGACTTATATTTGGTGCAATTAGCCTTTGGGATCCTATTTGTGTTTCTTATGATTTCCCATTTTATTTTATTTTTGAAGACAAATAGGCTTTATGAGCTTTTTAAAGTATCTCCAAAGCAAGCAGGACATAAACTAGATTCTTTCTTTCCTTTAAGGTTTAAAGGCAAAATTCTCTCTATAATTACTTGCAATGAAACCTTGCTTGTCAACTTCACTGTTCATGCAAGCCTTTGGTGAGAATGACTAAGGCCTCCTTTTAATTTAGGTTGTTTTCTTTTGCTTCAACCTAATTTGTTCTTCTGCCATCTGTCTCATTTTTGTTTCTTTTTGGGGTTTTTTTGGCCTTTTTTATGACTTAAATCATTTGTGAAGGGCCCATAGTCAATAGAAGTTGGTTGGCATATATATATTTGAGTAACAATACTATTCCTAAATTAAGGGTTGAAAAGATATAAGATTTTCCTAGCATTGCATTCCTGACTGAAGGAACACTGTTATCCTACTGTGGTACAAAGATAATTCATGGTACTTAATAATATGTGGAAACATTTCCCTGAGAAGTTTTACATTTAGTTCAATAATATAAAATTTTGTTCTGCTATTTTTACATTTAGTTTTCAGAAATAGGTTAATAACTCTTGTAGAAAAGATCTAAACTGAGAATTATGCAATAATAAGTGGGAAATTAAGTACTCCTAGAAATG